GGTTCCCAATCCCCTCCTTGCCACAGGTTCTCACTACTTGTCTTGCACTGGGATTTGCCTCTGCCATAAAACCTCCAAAAAGTAATGAATTTTCTACAAGAACTGCCACCACCATGATGGAAGAGCTGGGAATGCTAAGGGGAACACGGGCAGCTGCAACCACAGACATGACCATGCCACGTTTTTAAAATGCTGCYTAGCAGATGCTGTGCTCCATGGGAAGGTGGTTTAAGTCAGATATAAATAAGTAAGAACAGATAATATCAGATACATAATGTTAAATAAGGTTTTAACTAYGTGGTGGGCTGGTGGTTTTCTCATGTAAAGACATTTTAAGCTCACTTTTACAATTTGGAAAGAACATAAAAGTTTTTAACTAGAGATCTCAATTTCCTTGAAAACTCATTTATCTGTGATGAGAATAACAACATGGCTCTGTTGCTGTCTACATATTTTGCTAACCTGTGAACATGCTTCCTAAGGAAATGGTAACATTTTCATTTCATACTGGGGGAAAAAAATAACCTGAAATACACTCTCATGTCATTTGCCTAAATCTTATTTGGACAGCTTGCACGTCTCATCGTTTTCCTGTTATCACTAGCTCCTCTGAATTAGAGTGAGAGCAGGCAGATAAATGTAATGCTGCAATATACAGCTCAATTCTGAAGAAGATCACTCTGCTGTGACATGCCTTGCACTTCAGCACTAATGCAATGATACGGTTATCTCAGGTTTGAGGAGACCCAACAGCCTGTAATATATTAACGCACTTTTCATTTCAGAGATAGTGTCAGGAGCTGAAAAACAACTCTGGTTCACCATGCTGCTTTGGTTATTTCCCCTCAGACTCTTTTCTTCCCTCTGAAACCCACACCAGATTTGTGGGAGCAGCAACACTYTTGCCCTTGAACAAGAACCAAGTGCTGGGGTTAAGACCCATTGAGAAAAGCCCATAAGGTCACTTCTTCTACAGCTTCGAAAATTGACATTAGAAAAGACAACTTGCAGCAATTCCTATTTTTAAGTTTCTCAAAGGAGCTTTGAGATAATTTTAAGAAGTCCAGGGCCTGTAAGACATTTGACATCCGGAAAGGAGAACAGTCTTTGGCTGCAGAAACACTTTTTCTTTCTTCCAAGCCTACATGAAAAGTCTCACTGGCACAGAGAGGACAGGGAGAGATGCACAGCTCAGGGTTTCATTTAGTTTTCTTTTTTTTTGTTAACTGACCCAGCTTGAAGTTGGCGCCTGGCTACAGTTTCAGCTGCCCCTGAAGCCAGTCATGCTTTTGCTTGTGTGGCTGACTGCTGAATTGGCAAAAGCTACCTTCACAAAACCCCTTTTGCCAGAACACCTTTTTGTGTTTGCATTAAAAAGGAAAAAATTCAGATAAAGCTTTTGCCAATGATATTTTGGTCTACTGGAGCAGACGTTACAGAGYGATAAAATAAACCACCATTTCCTCACTATTTTAGCTCTCCAGCTCAAGAGCAGAATTTACTCTCACAAAGGAGCTCAGTGGTAGATGGGTAACTGTAAGAAGAGCAGCAATGCCTCTTTCAGCTCCTCTGCAAGTCATGAGATGTGCAAAAGTATTAAAAAGAGTGGGGAGAARAAACGCTGGAGAAGACATTTCTACAAGGATTGAAAGCATTCCCGGAAGGAACAGAAGCAATGCACAACTGGAAAAGCTCCTCAATTAAGATGACATTATTAACTTCTCTTTTTTAAATCTGGTTGCTAAATGTATCTTTACAGGGAGCATTAAAACAGACAAGACTAGGGAAAATTAAAACCCACATGTAACAATTCCCCCATGCTTTGCCTGACTGTTAAATGCACAGGTCTTGCTGAAGYAGAAAGACAAATACAGGAAGCACAAGGTGATGAGACGTGCACACACTTCATTACAAACCAGCACTTGGTATTTCTCTTAGTTACAGAGAAGTTTTAGGACACTGGTGACTAAATACAACTCCCTAATCCTTGGCCAGCTTTAGAAACCTTCCTCATAAGGCCAAGGTCAGGACAAGGCTACTTCCTCAATAAAAGAGGGAATATGGCATCTCTAATGACTGCTTCTGGCTGTTKTTCTCCTTGCCTATAAGAAGGCCACAGTGAACATTTGCTTTCTGAAAGTGACACAGATCTCTTTATTTACCAGCAGACAGACCCTCACTGCCTACAAAAAAAACTGAAGGTGGACTTGCAAGATGAAAGTTTCAGGRTGCAAACCACAAATTYAGGGCTTTCTTCACAGGGAAGTTCWGTTAAGGTKGTAGAAGCCTGTTAGTATGCAATGGCTTAGTATCTTAGATAACATACTATCTATTTTAATGTTACCCACCTGAGGGAGGCTCCCCTAATGAATCTATTTTTGTGGTATCATGAAGGGTGAAGTTCAGAGCTAAGTTTAGAACAGAGTCACATAAAAAATACCAAACCAGGAAATAGCTTAATTGAAGCAGAGAGTAATCACAGCAAATTACAGTGAATTTCTATGGGATTACATTTTGCATTCCCCAAACAAGAGGAGGAATTCAGCTCACAGCCTTTCCATTTTGCAGAGAGAACATTTTCAGGATAGGCTATGTAAGTAACACAGTACGAAGCCATAAAAGCTGTCTCAAAAGTGAAAGTCTAGGATGTCTTTGTGACCCTGTGGGATGCCCATGCTGGAGCTGGCTCCTGGCAGGGACTGGTGGCCCTGTGGAGCGGGGTGCTCACCCTGGAGCAGCTTTGGTGGCAGGACCTGTGACACTGGGGGGCATCCGCGCTGGAGCAGTTTGTGAAGAAGCGCTGCCCATGGAAGGACTCAGGTGGGGAAGTTCATGGAGATCTGTCTCCTGTGGGAGGGACCCCACCCTGGGGCAGGGGAGGAGTGTGAGGAGCCCTCCCCTGAGGAGGAAGGAGCAGTGGAAAYAAGGTGTGATGAACTGACCACAGCCCCATTCCCATCCACTTGTGCCACAGGGAGGGGAGAAAGGTAGAGAAAATCATAAGTAAGGGGAAAAGGGAGGGACGGGGATTAAGATTTGGTTTTATTTTCTCATTACCCTGCTCTGGTTTGTTTGGTAATAAATTCAGGGGATTTTGCACCAAGTCGAGTGTGTTTAGCCTGTGATGGTAATTGGTGAATCATCTCTCCCTGCCCTTATCTCAACCCATGAGCCTTTTCTTTTATTCCCTCTCTCCTCTCTCCAGCTGAAGAGGGGGAGTGATAGAGTGGCTTTGGYGGGCACMTGGCATCCAGAGTCAAACAACCACAATGATATTCACCGTGCACTTCCACAAATGGCTGCAGAATTTAATCTCTTCCCACTAACAAAGCCAGGTTTTGCACAAGGATCTGTGGTCAGCACCTCCCTTGGTTGCCTTGAGCACCTCCTCTGAGCTGTGCAAATAGCTGGCATAAGTACASTATATGCAGGTTATCACTCTTTATCCAGGCTTTACAGCCCACAGTCTCACAAAAGAAAAGGAATTTCACATCACTTTTTGCCATATGTTGGGATTCTCGCTACTTTTCACCAGGTCTCCAACATGAGAGAAAGGTGGGAACTTTTGACCTCAYTCAGTTACTACTGCACAGTTCTGGATGGTTTTTAGTGAGAAAAACAAGTTGCCTTTCAAGTAACAATGTCACTGCAAATCTCTCAAGGCTAATGCTTRGTGAGAGTCACCGTAAATACACTGGAACACTCACAGAGGCCACAGCCTGACCCTAACAAAGGCAGAACAAGTTTCACCACTAGGTTCAGAAAGACCTCAAAATGGTCCATAATGAGTAACATGCAATAAGATTTCAGCCCACAAGGGAAGGGGAAAAAAAAAAAGAAAAAAAAAGGAGAAAGAGAGACGCATGAAGGGGATATTGTGTATTAACTGTAAGAAGAGTAAATTCATAAACCAGAAGCCCTGTGTCCACTTAAAATTATCTGTGAATATTACACTTACAAGGTSTACAGAGCAGTTACCCTTTCAGAGGAAAGGATTTTGCAACAGAAAAAGCCTCTTATGCTYAGCTTTTTGTAAGTTTATAGAAATACAAAATGGAAAACAAGATTAAAGATCTTGTGGCTGCATAGTTTAAGACTGTTAAAATTTACTTACCAATGTTTTGGTGTTTTAATCCTAAATTATTCCCCCAAATATTTAACATTTTCTACAGCGCTAAGCCACAGAGTTGTGCTGTTGTCCCCACTCTGGGAGCTTGGAGGCAGGGATGGAAAAAGATACAAAATCTGCCAGAAAGGCTTTGMAATCTCTGTGTCACTGCAAGAATGAATTCTGAGACTACTGATTTAAAATCAGATCACCTAATATGGATACCACCCCTGTGCATTCATGGATTGTCTTTCCACAGGTCAACAGATCCCAGACTACTCTCAAACTGAACACCAGTTTTTCTCTGTGCATAAAACATTTTAAGACTCAAACTTGGGAAGACAGGCAAGAGTTGCAATTGCAAGCTCAACCTTCTAGGATACTCAACTCAAAGGCAGGGTTACAATTGTAGAACAAGCTCCCAGCCTTTATGGAAAGCTCGGGATGATCTCCATCTCCAGAGGTCAGGCACAGCAGAGGGGTGGCCCATGCACCAAGTAGGTACTTCCCAAACTGGGAGTAGGAATGTGACAACTCATATAAACGACAGGAGTTGTAACAGCAGGTGAACTCAGGGGCTGGTGTCAGTTTTTGTGACATCCCTGAAATTGACATGATGTCCCATTCCTGAACTTAATATCAGACTTTTTGATTTCCCAGGAAAGTCTTTGTTAATTGGCATGCAAAAGCAGAGACTATGGGACTGTATTGTTTTCTGCTCGTTTTTTTAAAGCATAAAAATGGGCACRTTAGGAAAAGAAAGGTCTTCAAGGAAAGCTAAATCAAACCCCAGAATCTTATTTAGTGACTCTATTTCCAGAAAAGGCTGAACTCAGGAACAGAGAGCAAGTGACAGAGAGTTTAGAAATTAAAATAAGAATGTTTTCATTACCTTTTCTGCAAGCCAGCCTAGGTGCCTAATCTCTCGACTTCCAGCAATCCCTGTTTTACCCAGCTGGTCTCTGACCTCTGCAATCACCCTGGGGATGAGCTCATTGACACTGGAGTGGATGGCATTGAACCAGGCCTGGGCTGTAGCTGAATCCTTACTCCTGAGCACCACGGTGTGCTTGGCATCAGGTGAATGAACTTCAATAATTCTAGAAAAATGGGGGAAAAACATWATGTTCATTCATATACTAACAGGCAGCTGAATTTATTACCTCATTTAGTGAATGCAAATGGGTTAAAAAGGATACTAATATTGAGACCTGGCACTAAAAACTTACCTTTACAACATCTGAATAGATTAGGATCATCTTAACTGAAGCCAGCTCTCTGCTGGCATTATGATAATATCCTTGAGAAGGAGATTTGCCAGTGCTGATGCAATCCCACATATAGCATGTCAATAGGAGTTTCAAATGTAAAGGCAAGAGGAACATTCACTGACATAGACACCACCCAGAACTGTGGGAAGACAACTAAGAAGCCAGGGAGGAGCTGCTGCCTTTCTTAGCTGGCTGTCATGGCACAACCAGAGATTTTCAGTGTGTTTATTTTACACGTGCAGAGATAAATGAAAACCATCTTCATCCCAAACAGAGGAATTTTCTTAGGATTGTTCTGCGGTTTCAGTGATACCCCTGTGCATTAACCAGATGTATATCACAACTCTCCAGGAGTTACCAGCACCCTCAATGCTCCATTTAGATCCTGCTAACAGTGGCAACAAGAAAGTGCTAACAGCAACCAGACGATTGCTGCTGGCAGGCACCTTTTACAGATTTTCAAGCTCCTGTGGAAAGAGATGAGTTTTGTTTCAAAGAAAACATTCCTRCTAGACTACCCTGTGGGTTTCCACCGTGGTTTGAGAAGTACAACCGAACACAGTTTTCAGGAAAACGAATCCTGTTCATTGCGGTTATGGGACTCGTGCCAACACCTTTGCTAACAACAACAAAAGTGCTTTGACAGGCAGCTGCAGCTATTTCAGYTCTGTTCTCAGTGAAGTTATTAGTTATTAGTGGGGCTTTGTGTGCTCTTTAYAGCTTTGTGGGCCATTTTACTTGAACATCTGTTAAATAATCCACAAAGTAATAGCCTGTTTTATCTTTATGTGGCAATTATAAAACAAAGCCCTGGTCATTGCCCATCACTCAACTCTCTATCACATTGGTGCTTTTTTATTATAAAGGTACAGTGACTGCCCCTGAATGTTACCCTCACAAATTYGACCTGGGATCTGAGCCTAGGCATGTTCCCCAGTCTCTGGGGCACACAATGACTCCTTTCTGCAGCAGAAAATTAATTAGTTCAGTGGAATTTATTCAGGTTGAGGCTCAAAACAGTACTGTAACGCAAATATTTGTTGTGTAATTACAAAATCCTGCAATTTGGAGTTTAACTAACAATTAAGAGGTTTTAATTAGTTGGTTAAACCAGAGCAGAATCCAGAACAGAGGGTGACTTGATCTGCACAGCTATCTGGGGCTCAGAGAGCAAGGATCCCTGGTTTCATGTTTGTCCATTTTGGGAAGGGGAGGTCTCCACGTAGACACTGTTCTAAAGATAGAAAAGGTCATGATTTTCCAAACTCAGCAGCTGAACTGCTCAGGGTCTTAAATCACTCGATAGCTTAAAAAGTAGTTTGATTTTTCAGGAAGCACAGAACCAACACARTAATGCCTGTTTCCTCAGTAAAGCTGCTGCAACTCAGCACGGTCTGAAAACCAATGTTATTTAGCCACTCCAAGATGCACCAAACATTCAACTTCAGGTACCAAAGCAAAATTCCTTGACATGTGATACCAATCTTATGAAGTAGAAAACTGTATTAATAGATAGGCATGCTCCCAATCACACACTCATTTTTTTCTGAACTGCTAGACACACCATGTCCTTTGTGGTTATGATTTAGCCATTTGTGTCCACTGAACATGATGATAATGCACAGCTACCTTACCCCGGTCTCTTTCCATCAGAGTCACAGCTCTCCCTCTGCTGAATCCCACTGCAACTCTGAACTGGAGTTTGAGTGTGTTCTTGTAGGCAGCTACCAACAAAAATAAACTAGCGGGCTTGAATTTTCAAAATGCATTGTGGTAATCAGTGAAATGTTGCTTATTACTTACAGAACAGATTTTGGCAGGAGATCTTACAGCATTTTACAAATGACAAATGAGCATCCTCATTTCACCAACAAAAAAGTGGAAAAGTGAAGAACCCAGAGCAGGCCAGGAACAAAAATCAGTATTTTCAGTCCTCTGTCTCCCATTTTAATACTTCTTTGACAAACAAAAATTATTTGGACAACACAGCTGTATTGTGCTGCATTTGCAAAATGTTAACACACCATATAGATTGTGTGAAACAATGTTTTCACAAAGCTTGTGGTTTCTACACGGGAACTCCCACTTACAAAGTCACTGCACATCATGCAGTAAACAAAGTGCTGAACGCAGACTTTAAAGACTCAGAAGAAAGTGCTGCTTTTTCATTTGCAAAGGAGCAGCAGCAAACTTGTGAGATTTCCTTRTAAGTTAGAGTTGTAGCAGGTTTTGACTTAAAAACAAATTATTGAGAGCTGAAAGAGCTTCCAAATGGCAACCTGCTTACCTCCAATTTGCAAATTTTTCCTTAAAACCAGTGGATCAACATACAAATAGGTATTTTATTACTGGGACCTTCATTGAAGTGTATTTTCCTTGATAGTGACTATTCAAGTTTTTGTATAAGAGCTCTATTCCCTAAAATAGTGAGCATTTGGACAGTTGTTAACAATTCTGCTTAAGGGGTTCTAAACCATTTCTAACACGGACACATTCAAATGTGATATCAAACTCCAAATTCTAGTGCTTATATGCATACACACAACTGAGCCATGSAAAATACTCATCCCTCAGTGACTAGGAGGAGCTGTTTTGGGAATGCTTGTCAGTCATCAGTGTTTGATGGTGATGCACTAACAATTGCATGAAGTTTACCTCATTGCCTGAGCTGAATAACTACATGATTGGACAATTCTACTACACTTCTCAAMAATTAGTTCAAAATGCTGCTTCGACTGTGCTGAAATGGATTCTCTTTATCCATGGCACTTGTTCAGTCCCACAAATAGATCTGTACGCATCATTTCTTAGCAAGCTGCTACACWGGCCAACTTTTATTTACACACTTTAAAGTCTAAATCCTCAACTGTCTGAACTCTGCTACTGGCTTTTGCTGTAAGATCTGGACTACTAAACCTTAGGAAACTGAGCTTGCAGATTTCCACTAATAACCCTGTCTCCACACTCAACTGGGATGGAGATAATAAAAGAAACTTTAAATTTTCCCGGAAAGCCATGGGCTCTGACTGCAATCAGATGCTGAAAGTGCTGCATCCCTATAAACTCTTTCCTTTTCTGCCTTTCAGCCCACGCTGCTTTGATTCACCAGTCCAATTGGATGATGCTTTCTGTACAGCAGCTGACTGATGGCATTTCCATACTTTTWGAAAAGCAAAAAAATACCAGTGACCTTAGTATAACTCCAAGACTAAGGCACTTTAATGTTCCAGCAGTCCAGCCATTATAGTTTTGATTTGTTCCTTTGCTAAACTGACCACCTCTTACTGACTTCTGTTTATCTGCAGTTCAGTGATAAAGTTCCCTTAGTTCCCCACTGAATCGAAATATTTAGGGCAATGCCACAGCTGTGTTTATTCTCACACTCCACCACAGTTATGTAAATACTGCATATGGAGCTGTTTCTGATAAAGCCCATACCAACCCAAAGGAATTATATGTTAGCTCTAGATGACTGCCAAGATGTGCGGCATCTCTCCAGCTTGGCAGTGCATATGAATGATATCACATTTTCTCAGAGATCATTTGGCAAACCTTATAATAAAAGAGTAATTTTCTCTCTCTTTCTCAAAGACCCTCAGTGAGATGAGGAGTGTTTCCAGCATCCCGTTCTCTACCCGCAGAACATGAGGGTGACACAAAACCCAGTGCTTTCAAACGCTGTAACCTGGCACGTAAGAGGAAAACTCCCTCCCTCACTTCATCATCCAGACTTTTTACTGTACAGAGGATCAGAAGTTGAAAGCAAATGTTTGGTAGACCGTACTAATTCCACATTGATAAGGCTTCTTTCTGCAGGAGTGTTCATTATCTAAGAAATACCTTTTATCAAAACTCTTGAAAGTACTTCTCCCACYGGCACTGGCTCAGGACCAAATCAGGCACTAAGTTACACTTCATGGCTCTTCCTGGGTCAGATTATATATTCAGTGACTGATTAAAGTGTGGAGTAAATCCCTTGAAGTTAATGATAAGCTGGAGCCAGAGTTATTCAAGTCCATCACACTACTTTGATTTTGCACTGGCACAGCGAGGAACAAAACAGTCTGTCACTGACTTTGCAAACTTAAAGATGAATCAAAGGCCAAACTGTTCACTCTGCACCTCCATCACTGTCTCCACATGAAACCATGGTAAGTAATTTTTTTTTATCCAAGTGTACAAACATAGGAGCTTTTCCAGGAAAAGGGGAGGATTTAGAGGAACACAGTCTGATTTGTATTTAAATAGTTATAGGTTTTGTTATAAAACAAATTTTAAAAGACTGTTAAGGATCTTTTGAATTCTACATGCAGCATGAGAAGATGAACCAGGAACGGAATGCATTAAAATTAGGCAATGGAAACTTTGGGCTCAGTCTACAAGGAAAATATTCCAGAGAGAGACTTTYAGGCTTGCAATGAATTCCCCAGCATACGCTCTGAAGAAGCATCTTCATTTGATGAACCTAAATGGGGGTGAAAGCAATTTTAGCAAGCAAGCACTATTTGGTAATCAARTGGAATTTTTCTGTGTGAAAGACTYTMGGTGCCCTTGCTGTCAGAAGGGTACTTGGCTGTATTAACAGTTACTTGGTGACTTTCAACTTACAGTGCTAAAAATTATGTAGATACTTTCTTAAGAGCTGGATGTCCAACCAGAGGGTGTAGATGTCACTAATGAGATGTCACAGTTGATTTCATTTCTATTTGCCACCAGCTGGGCTTTAATAAAAGGGGTATCAGTGGAGTTGTACCCCATCCAAAGAAAAAAAGGATTTGGTTCTGTAATAGACTGGCTCACAGCACTGCATGCAGATGCTGACCAAACTG